AACAAATTTTAAATATTTTATTTATCCTTTCATACAGTATACCTTGATCAGATTCTTTTCCTTTCCCAAACTCCTCTCAGATCTTTCCCACTTCTCTACCTACTAAGCAACATGCTCTCGCTGTCTCTGTCTGTCTCTGTGTCTCACTGTCTCTGTGTCTCTCTTTCTGCCTCTATTTCTATCTCACTGTCTCTGTGTCTCTCTTTCTGCCTCTATTTCTATCTCTCTCACAATACAAACAACCAAAAATGAAAAATCAAAATAAACAAACTTTAAAAAGAACACCAATATAACAACAAAATAAACTCCAAAACACACAAACAAACACAGAATAGCTTTTGTGTTAGTAAACTATTCCTGGGCATGGGGCCTGTCCTAGAGTGTCCTTGATATACCCAGTGATACTCTATTGAAGAAAACTGGTTTCCCCTTTCCTAGAAGGTGTCAGTTGCAAATAACTTTTTGGCTAGGGGTGGGACTTTGAGTCCACTTCCCCTTCTCAGTCCTTAAATCTTTTTCAGACTAATTTTTTAATTAATTCATTTTGAGACAAGTTCTCACTATGTAGCCATGGCTGACACTGGCATTGAATATGCTAGGTAGACCAGGCTGGCCTCAAAGTCACGGAAATATGGCTGACTCTGCCCCCTACCCCAGCAAATGCTAAGATTAAAAGTGCATGAAACACCTAACCTGAACCAATTTTTTGTTTAGATTTATTTTATGTGTGTGAGTGTTTTTTTTGCCTGACTACCTTTATGCACCAGATTTATGAACCACGTGAATGCCTGGTGCCCACAAAGTTCAGAAGAGGGCATTGGGGTCCTTTGGAACTGGGGTTACAGGTGGTTATTTGTCACTAGATGGGTGATGGGAACTGAACTTGGGTCTTTTGCAAGAGCAACAACTGCTCTTAACCACTGAGCTGTCTGTCCAACCTCTAGAACAACTTTCCAAAAAAATCTCTAGTTAAACCTCCAGCTTTGCTTCAACTGGAGTTGTGTTTATTTGTTGTTAGTGTAGTTCTGCTTCTGGGAATTCTATTTGGATTTTAAACTAGTTTCCAGTGGTTGAATAAAATGGTCAGTCTTGTTTTTTATATCTTTGAATACATTAAACAACAATTTTAAAGTCTCTCTGAAAAATCGTACTATCTAGATCCTTAATGTGCTCTTTCCATTGTCCCCTGGTTATGTTAATGTGGTTTTGTTTCTTTATGTACCTGCTTGTGTTTTATTGTAGACTTAATGTACGTGAAAAATATAAATCTAATTTGTAGCCTTTTTGTTAAGGTTACTATCATCCAGAAAGAATGGCTTTGTTTAGTTTTGTTTTGTTTTATAGAAGCTGCCTAGAGGCATCAGCCAGTCAGACCACCGTAATCCAACTGCAGGGGCTAAAGTGATTTAATACTGAGCTTTGGTAACGTCGTAGTTCTGGAGGTTTTTTTTTTCTTCGCCTTTAATCCTTAAGGTTTTTTTCAACCCAAAGTATGATTTCTTTTTTTATAAACAATTTTTATTGAGGTTCATATAGCCATAAATTTTCTGGGATGTCTACATGATTAGCATTGTGTAAAGTTTGTTAAATTTTTTTAAATTAAATATATTTCTTAGATTTCATAGAGTGGAATTTCAAGGTACAACAGGACATGAGAATGCCACAATAGTGTATAATGTTTGCCCACAGATAGGATTTTTTTTTCTGAAGGTTATAGGAGCTTAGTTGAATTCTGGCACATTTTCATGAGTGTTGAGCCATGCAGTTTTCTTCAATAGAGTGTCACTTGGGCATATCAAGCACACTCTAGGACAGGTCCCATGCTCAGGAATAGTTTACTAACACAAAAGCTATTCTATGTTTGTTTGTGTGCTTTTGGGGTTTGTTTTGTTGTTATACTGGTGTTCTTTTTTAAGTTTATTTATTTTGATAAACTGACATGGTTTTGTAGCTATATTTTCATTTGTCTCACCTACAGAAATCCCCAAAGTATGATTTTGTACCAGAATTCCCCACCTTGGCATGCCACAGAATCTAATTATCTTATGTCTCGGCTCATCCACATCTTCTTGGCACCAGCTGGGAAATGGATTCAAATGCCACATTTTGCTGTCTTCCCACATTTTGCTGTCTTCCCATTTTTGTCATCATTGTTAGTGAAAAGGCTGACACTCAGTCCTTAGTTCACCACTAGATAGAATTTCAATCATTTATAAAATGTTTTAAATGTTTTATTACACAATATTTCCTAACACTAATTTGAGACCTACTTGTAATCCTACTACTTAGGAGGCTGAGACAAAAGAACATGAGTTCGAGGCCAGCCTGGACTGCAGGAAGATTCCATTTAAAACCATCACCACAAAAATGTAAACAAACAAATATTTAGGATAAAATAACTCTTTAAGAATTGCTAGTATCTGTTACATACCTGCAATCTCAGTACTCTAGTAACTGAGGTAGGAGGATTGTGAGTTCTGTACAGTCTGTCCTGAGTTACTTAAGTGAGACCTTGTTTCAAAAAGGAGCAAACAAACAAAAACTACTCGAGCAAGAATGGCTTATAAATATTTATAGCCTAAAACCAGATCAAACATATTTAGAAAAGCAAAACCGTGGGTTTCACTAAAAACAGTTTAAAGATTTTTATTTGAAATATTTGGCTAATTTATTTTAACACCTTTTCTACATTATTTTTTCCTTCACAACCATATCAATAAATTTAAGGATAGACTCTATGAAGATGAACACTCATATAAGTAAGCTTACATCATGTTTCCCTATGGTTTTCTGAAACACACATACACGTATGTATAGTTTAAATAAAGTTATGCCACACTCAGCTGATAATCCTCTCTCAAGAGCCCCAGAGATCAATACTGATGTCTTCCTTAATTGCTTACATGTTAGGTTTTGAAAGCAACTCTCTTCCTGAGACCCGGGAATCACCATTTATGCTAGACTGGCTGACTAGCAAGCTCCAGGCATCCTTCTATCTCTGGCTCTCCATCACTGAGATGTATTAAGCCATATCCCCATCCCTATATCCGTTTACAGCAACCATAGTTTTTTTTTTTTTCCTGTTTGTTCTGTAAAAAGGGAAAAATCACATAGGTAAGTCATGACCAATTAGGCCTGAGGAAAAGACTCCTGGAGACTAGAAAGATATTGCTGATGTTCTGAAGACAATACTGTATGAAGCAGAAAGCACAAATACCCTAGAAAAGCTTTTGAGCAACTAAATCAATCAGGAATATAAATAGACCTTCACATTCCTGGTTATCCAACAAAACATAAACATCATTACTTCAGATCCTCCTATTTGAGTCTTCTGCTACTTGTAACCAAAGGAGCATACTAATAAAATTACAGTGATTTAAAGGACATTCTCAAGATTATTTGATACTTCTCCCATTGAAAGATCATTGAGTTGCTTATAGAATGTGTGGGGTGTTTCCTGGAATATGTGTACACCTGAGGATTCTGTTAATTTCTATATAGGCTTCAAGTTACTTCATGCCTCTTAACTCCTGTTTTACTTTCAAAGTAATAGGAAGGGATTAAAGCCTAACGAGCCTTCTGACTTTGATACTGGGGAACAACATAGAAGTCATTGTGTTGGGCTGAATATTTTTCTTCACCAAAACATATCAACATTTGAATCCCAGAACCAAGCAATGTCGTACCTTGCGCGTCACAGTACCTTGCATGGCAAAAAGCATTTTGTAGGTGTGGCTAGGACTGATACAGGAGCGGTGGTGGTAGTTTTCAAGCTGTAGGAATGAAGACAGTTACTAAAAGTTGCAAACAGCAAGAAACTAAGTACCTGCTAGCGAGTGGTTCCCAGCCTTTCTAATGCTGCAACCCTTTACTACAGTTCCTCACGCTGTGGTGACCCCTGACCATGACATTACTTTTGTTGCCACTTCATAACTGTAATTTTGCTACTGTTATGAATTGCAATGTATATATCTGTTATGCAACCCCCAAAGGGGTCATGACCCACGGGTTCAGAACCTCTGTGCTAGTGTCTCCAGACCCATTTTAGATATGTGACCACGTTTAAAACTATGAAATAATGATTTTGGTGTTTTAAACTATTATGTCTGTGGTAATTTGTTACAACAGCCACAGGAATCTCACAACACTGTTGAGGGACTTGAGCTTTGCTATTAGACTGTAATACTCAGGCTGATAGACCTCTTCTACCATACTGTGGCCTTGGGTCAGTTACTTCAAATTTCTGCATTTTAGCTGTACCAAGAATAAGAGAATAAAGGGAGGAAAGATCTGAATTACTGAGTTTGAGGAAAATCTCAAAATCAACTGTACTTAGTAAAATAATCCTAAAATAAATATAAACACAGTACGTCTAATAAGGCTTATAATACTATTTAGGGCATTTGCTCCTTTCTCAAAAGTCACACACACACACACACACACACACACAGTCTTTACGGAAGAGGGACATCAACTTTAGGAGTTGTGTGTACAGACTCTTATTTGATCCTTATAACGAGTCACAAAATAGAGAGGTTTTGTTGTTGTTATTGTTGTTGTTTATGATATGGGAAAACTGAATCTGTGGAGGTTTATATTTTTCAAAATCAGTAACTAGTACAGGGAGAAATCAAAGTTACTTGCTCAGCTGCTACACTCATTTGCTGGATAACTGTGGATGAATGTATTGTGCATGCATGACCACAGCAGGAAACTGAGTCTAGACTGGCTGACACAAGGTTATCCTAACTAATCCCCATGGAAGCTCTTGGCGCTCTCACCATCCTTCCCTTCTTTTCAGAAAACCAGCCTGGTCTGAAGTGCACTCTAGACCTAACAGGTACCTTTAGCCCCGCTAAAGGGCTCAACTCAAACAGAGTCCCTCCTCCCTGTCCTTTAACCCCGCCCACGTCAGGTCCCTGCCGGTTTGCGACAGAAGGGCGGGGCCTAGCCCTGGTCTTGAGTGGAGGCGGGGCCTCCCCAGAGGCCAGTACGCCGCTGAGGAGCTGGACCGGAGGTTTGCTCCGCCCCAAGGGACTAAGGAAACCACCATGGAAGGGTACCAACGGCCCTGCGACGAGGTACCGCCCCTCTGGCGCCAGGAAGAGCCCCTCAGCCTTCTGACTGGCTGTGGGGACACTGCGGGGTGGTCTCTTAGTGCTGGGAGAGTTAGGATTCAGCGTCTTTTTAGCCTGGGTCTGCGCCGCGGGGCCTGGATCCTTCTTGTCCTTAGGCGTCTCCCTCTCCCTGCCCCTCCCCCTCCTCCGAGATCCTAAGGGTGGGCTGAACGTCGCGCTGGCCTGAGTGACCGAAAGCGCTTGGGGACAGTGGTCGGGGTCTACGAGGGCCGGGTGGGTGTAGGGAAGGCCTATCTTGGGATGCACTGGCAGGCGTTGGCGAGCCCCGCCTGTTTGCGATCCAGGCCTGGGAAACCGGTCTCTCTGATTCCTCCACCCTTTTGAGTCTCCTTGAGCTGGCGCTGCAAGGTGGCTCTAGTCCTGGGAACTCTCCCCAGGAAAGGCTAGAGGCAGTGCTTTACGGATTAAGAGCCCTTGCTCACCGATTCAGATTTCCCTAAACCTCACCAGAACCCTAGGATGTCGGTTACTTTCCTGTTACTGAAGGTAAAAGACTTTTTATGGCGACCAAATGATAGGCCCCAAGTTAAAACTGTTAGGAATGACAGATGTTCCATTTGAACCCAGGTCTCTGGCTTCATACTTAAGCCCTTATTTCAAGGACTTGGAGGATGAGGCCTTGTTGAATTGTCGCACAGCCTATAAGAGTTTGCAATTACAGAGTAGACAGAATTTTTTTTTCCCAGTGATAACCACTGGTGAGTGATATAGGAAACTTAAAGATGAAACCTGGAGGTACAATGTGACATGATCCTTGTAAGGAGCTTCTGGTCCAATGGGAACCTTTAGGGTATGAGTTTCTGCACAAGATTCTGTGCTGCAGAGAGCGTGCGTACTTGTAGGTCAGTGGTGAAGCATACTAATGTTAGAAATAAGGACTTGCCCCCTCCCCCAGTTACAGGGTTCTTCCTCAGATTTACGTCCTAGCAAAGGTGCAAGGGGATCTATTTTTACTACTTCCTAAATACACGTAATTTCTAAAGAAATAGGAGTGGAGAAACAGTTCTAATGTGCTTGGCTAGCACACGAGAAGCTCTGAGTTCATAGCACCAAAAGAGACAGAGATGCATCCATTATTATTAGGTAACTTTCCAAACTGTAGTGAAATGTACGTCCTTTATTTCTTAGGCCAAGTTTTGGATGCCATTTCGAAGTAAAAATGGTATTTTATCATAGGACCAAAATATGAGACCTCTTTTCATAATGCCTCCAACTTTGTAGAGTTTCACTCCTTTTTTTTTTTTAGGGAATGATAGGAAATTTTATAGAATAATTAATAGAATTAAAATAAAGAAATCTATACTTAAAACATAACTCTGGAATTTACTTAGTTCGAGTAGTTTGAAGTTGAATAGTGGTTTTTAAAACACCAAAGTGCTGCTTTCCCAATGCACCCGAAATATCTTCCTGGAAGTAATTTTGGTAGTACCTGAAGCATCTTGGCTTGTATTTGAGTCCTATCACATAACGTAGTTCTGCAACAGAGGACACTTAGATGCTATTGAAAATTGCTGTTAATCTAAGGTTCTAACAAGCTACCTCCCCCCCAAAAAAGAAATACCAATTCATACAATTAAAATAACATTAATTTCTAATGACAGAGTATTGCCATAATCTTTTATTTGGGAAAGTAATGGTTTGCCTCACATCAGTTCAAAATAAAATTGGAAATGACAGTTGAGTATAGTCTTATGGTCCACTTTTGCTGACATGATTTCCTGTATACTGATAGCACACAACAGACATCATTAATAGCTACCGAATGCCAATTTCTTAGGCTTTATTACACAATGATTACCTAGAATATTCATTACACTCACTATTGTAAAAGCACTTTTCAAAGCGGTATTTGCCTAGGCCCTGCCCAATTCTAATGGCTCCAAACCTACAGGGAATAGGTTCAAAATCCTCAGTAGACCCAATGCTCCTAGCATTCTGTCACTATGGTTTTCTTAGGCCAGATGAGGGTATCCTGAATCTTGCCTATGCTGAAAGCAGGTTTTCTTGTGTTTTCTTTTTAGGTTGGCTTCAATGCTGATGAAGCACATAATATAGTCAAAGAGGTGAGTTACATTTGCTGTTATCTCACAGCTTGTGTGTTAATGAAAATACCTTAAATCCAATTAAGGTTAAAACACAGAGATGGAAAATATTCCCTCTTTGTAGGGGTGTATATGCAGTGCATGCCATGAGGCTTAGTTGGACTTTTTTCTGAAAGACCTGCTGAAGCTCTGTTTCAAGTCTACAGAGAGAAAAGATACTGAGGACCCTTATTGATCCAAGTGTTATCCCTATAGACTACACTGTGGGTGAGGTACTTTAAGACTACTCTAAAGAGTCATCATTAACTCTCCCAAATCTTACGTTAAAAAAAAAAAAAGAAACCCTGAGCTGGCTCAGGAGACTGGCTCCAATTGTGGGTGTGGCTCTTGGGGCCTGTGTCCTAGCAAACCCTGATTTGAGTTCTGTCTGGGCACGATTGACTCCACCTTCTCGGCATCGAGTGTGTGTGCCATCAGTTTCCCCAGAGACAGTTCTTGACTTGCCTGACTTCTTGCTCTAAGGATAGACTCTCCTCATCCCGAGCTCAGCTGGGCTGACCCTGTAGAAGTAGGATCATCAGTTTAACATCCCAGAGGGCTAGGCAACGTGAAAAAAAAAAAAGCTGTATTTTAATAGTTGAAGAATTCTTATTAGAATATTTACTTATTTAAACTATCCAGACTGTATTATATAGCTGTATATTTAACAATATTTAATCAAAACAAATGCAGCACAAGGAAGAGCAATTAAAGGGAGGTGTAGCGATAATATTATTTTTTAAAATAGAATGTCAAAAGACATTAGTAGTTAATGGTGAGCAGACATGAAAGAAAAGATGCTGAGTTTTTGGAAGAGACACTTTAATATATTTTCCTTACTCAAATTTTGGGCCATATGAAAAGGCAAAAGCATCACCTGAAGATAAAAACTAGGCTGATGACTGTATCATGTTATACTAACCCCTCCTTAGTTGAAACTTGCAATACTGGCTTTGCGTGTACACAAGGGAAAGTTTGAGTCAGCAGAGAGAAACAGGATAATGTGTCTCTTTGGTCTGGCTGGGGATGGAAGGAAAAATGAAAACCCAAGTTCAAGATGCTTGGGAATGCGGTTTTCTCAGGTGGGTCAGATAGAGCAATGCTGACCACTCACCAACCAGATAACTTATCCATCTCCCTAGGAAGGAAGGAAAGATGGATGGAGTAAGAGGTCAATAATGTTAAAGGCGTGTGTGTGTGTGTGTGTGTGTGTGTGTGTGTGTGTAGGAAGTGTGTTTCTATCGGTGCGAATATATTGAAATCTACTGAGACCTCTATCTTGAGAAGAGATGGGGGAGCTAGTGGGGAACTAAATTTTCAACTATCGTAGGAGTTCTAGACAAGCCGCTCATAAAGAAAAACTTAATGGTAGACAAGTTATTCAGAAATATATAAGTAATTACTTTTTAAACTGCTGTGTGTGTGTGTGTGTGTGTGTATCTCTGTCTCTCTCTCTGTGTGTGTGTGTGTGTGTGTGTGTGTGTGTTTTAGAGGTTAGATAGTATTAGAAGCTACCAAATGCATTTTTATTTTTTCTCTTGTTTCTTTGTTTTGTTTTGTTTTGTTTGAGATAGAGTGTTGTTAAGTAGCCAGGATTGCCTGCCTCCTAGTTTTCATACTCCTGCCTCAGACAATCAACTGTTAGGATTCCAGGCACACACCACCGCACCTAGCTTACTAGATGCACTTTACAGTAGGACTCTCACTGAAATATTTCTGAGAATGTGGTTAGCTCTATAAGTCATTTAACTGAAAACAGTTTGATACCAACTGAACTTGAATTCTCGACATGAAAGATGGCGCTTAAGAGAAATCTCAGGCTTTGGGGAACTTGTCTCTGGTCTTCTTGGCCTTTCTTTCCTGACTCGCCTTTCTATGCCACTAAAATAGTTCTATTGAAAAGCTGGAAAAGGCTTAAAGGTACAAGTACTGTTTTAAAACATTTCAGACCATCCTAGATAATTCCATAATTTCAATAGTCATTTCTGTTTTATTCCATACTCAGTCTCATTCCTTGAATTTCGGGGTTTGGTTTGGTTGTTTTGCTTGTTTTTGTTTTTATTTTCAAGACAAAGTTTCCCTGTGTAGCTCTGGCTGTTCTAGGATTTACTCTGTAGGTCAGGCTGGCCTTGAAGTCCCAGAATACCACCAGCCTCTGCCTTAGAGTTCTGGGATTAAAGGCATGTGCTACTGCCAGCCGCTTCTTTTAATTTCTTGCTCTGAGTTGTCTCTCTCCCTGTCAACTTACTTTTACCACTGAGCTTTTAGAGCCAGTCATGTACTAGTACTAGAAGACATTTAATTTAGTGAGTGATTGAATTTCCCCCATGCCCAAAATTTCCTCAGAAAAAAAAAACGACATTTTAAATGACATAAACTCAAGACTTAGTCTAAAGCATGTTCAGTTTAGACTATCCAGAAAGTATATTTAAATAAGTATTCCTTCAGCAACAAACATGTAAGTACTTACTGTGTGCCCAGGTCCTGAGCTTTGCTCTGGAGGAATACAGAACTGTTTACAGCTCTGATTTGTGTAGTGTCTTTCAGGGTTGATGGCTATTAGTTAGGGACTTCACTTGGCTCGGGGCAGTGAAGGGATGAAGAAAAGACACACACATACAGACCCATGGCCAGAAAAGCTGGGATCAGGTACAGTGGGCTTAAAAGCGAGGGGGCTGGAGTGATCTACAAGGTTATTCAGTCGTATTGTGACATTAAGGGTTAAGCAAAGAAGCATCTGTTGGAGGCTGGGCCTTATCCAGGATATCTGACTTCAAGGCCATTAACTCATTCTCCTACACGTCTGGTCCGAAGCTCAGAGTGATAAGAGGACAAAAGGAATTAGTTCTTGGGCCTGAGACCATGGATTCAATTTGACCCTGCCAGCAAGATAGAGAAGTTATCTCTGAGATGGCTGAATTCAGACAACTGTCTCCTTACAATTGCACACAGACAGGGAAGCAGAGTTGTTATATATAGCTATTCTTTATTCAAGAGGCAGCCTTAGCTAGTCTCAATAGGAACAGTCTCTGTAGGGGAGCAGTCTTCAGGCTGGGGGAGAAAGCTATGATGGACATTTTCTGCACACTGTCAACATCTACATATGGACCACAGGAAGGTTATTGCATCTTTCTGAGCCTTCATTCAGGAGTTGAGAAAGCTTTGCAGTTTTCCCATACGTCTAAGGCAATAGAATCCTTGACATGGCTGTACCCATGTCAGAAGCACACACACATTCAGTCGGGATTTCAGTCACTCCAGGTATTGTATCTCTCCCCACAGTCTGGGAACTGGTGGCTTAAAGATGGTAGGTCATTAGCTAAATGGTTTGAAACAGACAGATAGAGACCCTGGCCTTCAAGCCCAGGACTGGGATACGAAAGCCATTGTTCTTTTGTTTGTTTGTTTGTTTTTGTTTTTTTTTTTGTTTTTCGAGATAGGGTTTCTCTGTGTAACCCTGGCTGTCCTGGAGCTCACTCCGTAGACCAGGCTGGCCTCGAACTCAGAAATCCACCTGCCTCTGCCTCCCAAGTGCTGGGATTACAGGCGTGCGCCACCACCGCCTGGCGAAAGCCATTTTTCTTAATCGAGTATCAAAAGTGGATGCAAGTGAGCACTGTGGTATATTATTTGGCTTTCTTTTTTTTAAATATCTTTATTCACTTTCACTGGCAGGTGTATTGATTGCTTTATAGCTAAGCAATTATAGGTTATGAATGGGATTCCAATTCTAATCCCGAGAATTGTTTTTAAATTAGCCCAGTCCTTTGTTTTGCACACACAAACCCTAGTTTGTTTCAAAGCCACTCGAGCCAACTAGTGCCATCTTCCCTTAGTCCTGCAGTCATTTTTATCACTTCCTGTTTATGAGTTGTCCTTCCTATGTTCTAAACATTAGAGCTCTTTGATTAGTGCCTCTTCTAGAGTAAGCTCTTTACCAACAGAGGCATTGACAGATTTATCTTCGTACGACCTGTAATATTTCATAGAATTAGATAAGACTCATGGGAATGCTTAGAAAATGCTTGAAGCTACAGACAGTGCACAACAGACATTTAGTAGCTGTGTGCTTTCTGTTAATGCCCCAGCAGGCGCTGTCTTGAGTGACTTTCCCTTGTAGTGTATGTCCAGTCTGGTTCATCTGGGTTCATTGAGCTGTTCTCTCTCCTAGTGTGTTGATGGAGTCTTGGGTGGCAATGATTACAATCAGAATGACATCAATCAATGGACTGCGAGCATAGTGGAACAATCCCTTGCACATTTGGTCAAACTGGGAAAAGCTTACAAGTACATTGGTAAGTGATGATTCACTGTCCTTCTTCACTAGCTTGTGTACCTTTCTCCTGATTTTCTCTGAATTGTGAGAGTGTATCTGAACAATCGCCACTGTAGTTGAACACTCAAAGTGTAAGATGCACTTCTGACATATCCCTTCAACATAATACACAACGGTGTGGAAATAGGAAGGGCTTTCCATCGAAAGCAGTTGAACTGCTTGCCCTTTGTAGCAACAGTTCCCTTTGTCTACTGAGACCCTCCAGTGCTGTCTTCCTCTCATCCGTCCATGCCTCTGCATAGGCCTGTGAAGATCCATACAGCAAGAGTACAAAGTGAAATATTCCCTGCATTTCTGTGTGACATCTGTTAGTGGCACAGGGCACACAATTTGATCCAGAATTTTTCTGCCATGCAATTGTTGGTGGTGACAGTAGTGGCCCATGAAATGGCTGACTCCCATGAAGTTAAGTTCAGGATGATAGTACGTATTCAAAATAGGAGACAATTTTAGTCTACTGACTGAATTATTTTGTGTTACTTTTTTCAGCTTCTGGAGTTCTAACACAAACACTTCAGCCTTGACTCCTTCCTCCTTTGCAGTAACTGCTGTTCTGTGTCTTTCTTTGTAGTGACCTGTGCAGTAGTCCAGAGGAGCCCATATGGATTTCACACAGCCAGCTCCTGCTTTTGGGATACAACATCTGATGGTGAGGGACCTTAAATGAATTTACCCAGAATGAAAGTTCCAGCAAAGTCAGGCTGGAGTTATTACAGAGCGCTACTAAAAGTCTGGAAAGATAATATCAATAGAATTGCATTGTGTCTGTTCACATGTATGATTTCAGGGTAGTATGAAATGTGAAGATATAATGTGTTGCAGAAAATACTATTAAAAGTGTGTGTGTGTGTGTGTGTGTGTGTGTGTGTGTGTGTGTGTGTATGTGTGACTTAGTGTCTGGTAATTGTGAAGTTTTGCTAGTATATGAAAGTCCTCTCTTGTATGCTTTCAGGAATCTGTACCGTCAGATGGGAGAACCGGACCATGAACTGCATCGTTAATGTTTTTGCAGTTGCAATTGTCCTGTAACCTGTAACGCACTAAACGTGTTGGGTTAAGGCCCTTAACTTAAGTTTGTGAGTGTATTCTTTCTAAAAAGAGTAACAATTACTTATTAACATGCTAGATGACAAGTGTGCAATATGCTTCAAAGCTATCAACAGAGAACTGAATATTGTAAGCAGAAGTCTAATAGGATGTTGGCAGATTATCTCGTATTCTATACAGCATCATTTAAGAACATAAAATGTTAGCCGACAATTAATGCAGAAATATGGCTGACCTAAGAATAGAATTTTCTACTAATACAAGCCTTTCCTGGCATTATGTTCCAACAAAGATGGGGAAATCTATTTAGATATTAACATTATCATTAACTAGAAAACACAACAGGGATAAATATATGAACAAAAAAGTACAAGAAGAAATGCAGAGAAAATGACATGAATTAGCTAATACCTTTCTGGTTTAAGTATTTTTGCTTTGTTGAATTGCATATAGTAGTTCATGGAAAGTAATTTACACACACATACACTCATTCCCTCTTTTCTCTCCCTCTCCCCCCGCCCCTCGCCCCATCTAATGTAATCGTAGCTGCTGTGACTAACTAGTTTTGTTTTCCTGCAAACTGACAAACCCATTGATTTTTAATGTCAGTTTCTTACATTTTACACTTGAGGTGGAATTAAATACGATCGACCTAGTTGAGTATATGATCAGCATTCTCTGACTCAGACAACTGCCTTACAATCCAGTCCTTCCACGAGGGACAGCTATCTATGGACTGTGTGCTCTGCAGGTTTCTCTGCCAGACAGACAGCTCTTAACGTGGTGTTCACGTGTCAAGTTTGTTTTGGCAGCTGTTCAGTTGGAAAATCAGTGTTTATGTTTGAAGGAGAACAAAAAAAAGAAAGAAAGGAAGGAAGAGAATCTGGCCCTCCATGGAAAATTAACCAGAAGGAAAGCACTAATTGGTAACAGAATTATAGATACAGTTTTTAAGGGTTGCTTCCCACAAAGTAATACATCAAATATGCAACTCTTCCTTAAAGGCCTTATTAGTAGTCTTAGGTATACAGTAATAAATTTTATCATTGAATTAGTTTCAACTATGTGTGACTAATTTAAAATACTTAGGTAGAATTAGGACAAGTGAAGTAGAATAAACATTAAAAGTGAACAATCATTAGCAGGTTATCTAATATCTCAGGGCTTATGAAATATATTTCAATTTATTAAAATCAAAGATAAATATTAGGATACACAGCTGGCCACCAAATGCAAAATCAGTCTGCCATTTAACCTACAAAATGAAATCAATTTCTCCTATTGCCATTGTCACGCAGTCTGTGTGAACACTGGAATCACATGTCATTGAATTTTTAGGGTAAGGAAAAGTTTAGTATTAATGGCAACAACATTAAGACAGGATTCTTACATGAGGACTATGCATGTGGTTGACATTTTTCAGAATAACTGTAATGACAAGAATGCAAAGATAGGGTTTAATGAGGTGACCTGTAGCTTTGGCACATCTAGAGTTCTTTGTCATTACCTTTATGTTATTTTATGCTGCTGGCTCTTGTACCTCGGGAGATCGTAACAGTGACCAAATTATCTGTGCGGTTAAGGCTTATTCTTTGATTATTGTTGTTGAAGTCTCGTTTTAAAATTATCAAATCATACCTCGTGAGCTTGCTATCTGCTGTTCCTAGTTAAAAATATAATAAAGACTATCTTATTGTGCTGAACATCTGGCTCTGGTTGGTTACTCAGTGGTCAAGAAATCAGGATTCTGCTTACTTGAATACATTTTAAGCAGGATAAATGGAGGAGGAAAATAAATGTGGGACCACATAAATATATTACAGAAATTAATACATCAAGAGTGTGAGGTCAGACTCAGTTGCCCAATAAAACTGTGTCTCAAAAATATTGCTACCTAAATCTAGTCTTCACCATTACAGTATCATTAATAGCTTCTGTTTCATGTATTTTATTTATGATCTTTAGCGCAATGTTTTTCTTTAAAGCTAACTTAAAACATATTTTGTAACTACTTTTGAACTTGTGATAATTATTTTAGCACTTTGTCTTGTCAAATTGCAAATGACTTGTTGCCTCTTTCAAACAATTAGGGACTTCAAGTAAATAAGAGTATTCACATGTAAGCACTAACTGCGCTTTTTGTAAAGCTGTGATTTTGTGTTTATAAAGTCCTAATAGACTGCCTCGATAATGGCAACATTCTTCTTCCCAAGTTGGGTGTTACTTAATTACGAGCCACTGAATGCGTTTTCACTGTGTGCATTCATCATTGCAATTTATAGTGATCTAAGGATAATTTTAGGGTTGTGTCTTCAACATTAGAGTAAAAATAGTTACATGTTCTTGATAGCAGTTATTAAAACAGATGAGAAAATAGTCACCTATTTGGGGGAAACTAGTTAAGTCTCTTCTATGGCACATATCAAAGGAAAGTTAAAAGTGAATTGAAATTCTTTCCTCGCGTGCTACAATTTGTCCAAGGGGAATTTGTTTTATAATTCAAAAGGTGGAACTATCTTTGTGGCAAAATCATCTATGGCCAGTGTTAGCTAGTTCTGTAAAGTTCACTCTCTACCCTTTACAGTGAGTATTTTAAGCTAGCGTACAAAGTAATGGGTTTTTATTATGACATTGTCATACATATGTGTCATACTTTGTTCTTGTCTGATGTTCCCACTGCTCCCACATCCTTCTCCCCGTACCCACTTTCTGGTTCCCTTCCTCTTCTGATAGTCCTTCCTTTGTCTTTCATATTCCATGTATTCTATGCAATAATCTTAAACATCCATCCCTTATAAGATGTAGCATTTATGTTATGGAGGCCTGAGCCCGTGGCTTTATGCAGCTCAGTTGGCCAGCTTTCTACCACTGAGCTATATCCCTAGGGCTCTAGCAGGCTCAAGCATGACAAAAACAGGCCCCAGCATGGCAAACGTGGAGCTGGCAGCTTTTACCTCTCCTCCCTTCCCTCTCCCTTGCTCTATACCATTAGATGAAATTCCTAAAGCTAGCCACCAAGGCCTACTCCCTTATTTGGCTACTTTGTTATGCCTGACTCATTCCCAAGGCTGATCACTGAGGTCCAACTATCCAAACATCAGTGCCCAGCAATTAAAACACATCATTTTGTCTACCCTTATTAAAATACCCAATCAGAACTTACTGACACATCCTAGCTCATCCTAACACAGATTTCCCTCTTTCCCCTGTTAAACTTAACGCTTGCAAAGCTATTGTCTGCTGTTTCTGCCCAATTCAGATTCAACCACCTTGTCACTTGCTTTGCTTAATTAAAGGATCTTTTTGTGTTTGGTTTGTGCTTGGAAATTGGTATTTGGGTGTGGTCTATGCCTAATCTGGGGTCCAGATGGGGCACCCTGAAGTGGGTCCCTTCACCTATCCCTATTTGGGGGGCTTATTGTGTGTACAGATTATTTGCCTACAAGGATATCTGTGTACTACTCGCATGCCTGGTGGTGCGTGTGGAGACCCAGAAAGGGCATCAGATCCCTTGGAACTGGAGTTAGAGACAGTTGAGAGCTACCTCGTAAGTGCATGGAGTCAAACCTTGTTCCTCTACAAAAGCAGCCAGTGCTTTTAAAGGCTTTTAAAATCATCTCTCCAGTCCCAGACTTCACGGTTTATTTTGAGACAGGGTCTCCTTTTAGAGAATCTAGGGATCTTTCTTCTGACTTTTTTGTTTGTTTCTAGAGGCAAATTGAATTTGGGAGGGTGATTTCAATGATTCCAACCTGTATCTTCAAAGCCAGTGGAGCAGCATCTTCAGACCCCATCTCTGACCCCCAGGGTTTTTGACTTGGTTTTTTTTTTTTTTTTGTTGAGTTTTTTTCCTTTCTGCCTGATCCTTCTTCTTGCCTTATTATTTCCTCTTGAGAATACACTGACTCCACTCAGGATTATCTCCACAAGATCATTCATCACACCTGCTTAGTTCCTGTTAACCAAAACCAAACTCACAGGCTTCAAAGTGAAAGATGCCTGCGGGTATTCTGCTGCAACTCTTATCACCACATGATGCTGAGTATCAACGGACTCTCCAATGTAAGTATCAGAAAAGTAAAGAGCAGGTCAATAGTGAGTGATAGACTGGATTGAACATGCGCTATTCCAGGGAAAGTTATATTTCAACTCTGTTTGCTGTTTCTATTAAGGAATGGAGGCTCAGGTATGGCTGGCTAGTCTTTCAGCTTTACAAAGAGTCACAAGTATTGGTTATAATATGAAAAGACTCACAAAACTGAAATAGAAGCTTAAACACTGACTTTTGATTTAAGCAAACACAATAAATAGTGTTTTTATTCTGCAGTCCCTAACCCCCTTCCCCTCCCTGCCTTCCCTTCTTCCCTCTGCTATCCCTTCTTCCTTCCCTTCTCTACCCTCCCATTTTCCGTTTTGACAGACGGTCTTGTTAGGTATCCCAGGCTATCCAACTATCCTGCTTCAGTCCACCAGGTGTCTGGATTGCAGGTGTGCTCCGTCATCTCCAGACCCTCACCTTATGTGAGCCAGTTAGGAGATGAGAATGATAGAATCATAGGAAAATGATACATTCTATCCCAGATTAGGATTTTTTTTTTAGAGCAACTGGTCTTTCTCAGTAAATCCCAATATTAGAATCTCACTCCATGAATATAGGAACATGGCTGTTTCTGGGAAGCCAAATATAAAATCAAAGGAGACAGAGCATGCCAAGGATGGCAGAAATGAAGCAGTAAAGAAATATCAATATGTTATAGAAATGGATGATTCTGTTCATAGAAAACCATAGGGGAGAACCCTACCATAAGTGAGGATTAAGCTGATCCCTTAAGGTTTGGTGAGATTGGCTCAGTTTCATAGTTTTTAATAGTTCTAGGCTCCTACCAGCTCCTCAAGCCTCATCCCAGCAACCTCCATTGGCTGTATAAGCCGGTCACACATCAGATTTATTTGACCAATGAGCAAAGCACAGGAATGAAGTTAGCTACAGTGTGGGCTTAAGGCCAAGTCAGTACTGGGCACAGCTGCTGTAGTTGTCACCATTGATAATGGGGACCAGATATTTCAACAGAATTAATGTCCTGTGAATCATTAGTGGGTTTATAAATGGGGGTAATTTAGTGACATCTGTCAAATTTTTTTGTTGTTGTTCTTCTATCATGTGAATAGTTCTTTGGCCCACTGCTACAGAACTAACAGCATAGCTCATAAATGAAAAATGCAAATAAATAAGGCATTTCTCTTGACTAGTGTTTGGAAAGTAAATTTTAAAAATGAAACTCAGACCAGGGATGGTGTTAGCACAGAGGAAGCAAGCGGAAGCGTTAGGACTGCAAGGCTCAGCCCTTCCTACCTATGTAGTGTGCTGCGGCTCCATCTAAAGTCCATAACAAGACTCTCAAAAGCAAACAGAAAACGAAAACTAGAGTGTCTATCTACCAAGAGGACCAGGGATAAATAACACTGTCAGGAGCCATAAGAGGACAAGCTAACAATTAGCAGTTGATCATCCTGAAATGCTTCCCTCGGATTATTATCTGCGACAAGTGTGCCACATCAGCAAGGCTATGCTGGACATATTTTAGGAAAGATCCTGCTATTAATATGCTTTTCCTATTATTGTTATTAAACATATATAACAATCACTAAGCAATAGCACTCCCCTTTGGAGCAGATCTCTGCAGACCCACGAAGATGTACTGTCTTGTAATGTTGCTATATAGACAAATAGATGACTTCTTAAGTCTTAATGATGATCCTATAAGAATTCCTAAAATTATATCAATAATTATTAAGCTCTTTTATAGTGGGACTGCTATTAAAGTCCCTTTCTGATATTCAAAACTGCTATGAGAACTCTGCCAGTCTCCCAAGTGTCATCAGTTAACAGCCCTTAGATAGTAACCAGACTCTCTCCTGCTCAGAGCACATTCCAAGGTGGTTGTAAAACAATTAATCAAGGGTCACTAAAAGGGAACTCACGATTTATTATAGGTGCTAGGACAGAAGAGAAAATATTGCTTGGGTTTTTCTATGCAAAACTTCACTAATTTCTTAGTTATAGTTTTAAACCTTCAGTGAACCTGTGGAGCTAGACAGGTGATGGATGTTTAGTCAGATAATTAGTCCTAATGGATATGCATGTAAACATTCTCTGTTGTAAACTTCTATTTCAATTTATGATTTGAATTTTGGTGTGAACTTGTGATGAACTTTGCAACATGTGATAAGGTACTCTGAATGATGTGTAAGACAAAGGGACATCCGTTAGCGACTCACTTTCTCACTCACTTCTCTTCACACCTCTCTCTCTCTCTCTCTCTCTCTCTCTCTCTCTCTCTCTCTCTC